GCTCCCCGTCCCCATCCCCGCTCCCCATCCCCACTCCCTGCTCCTGCCCCGGGCTGTGTCTTTGCCCCCCAAATGCCTCTCGGGGGGGCTTTTCTGTTTTCAGCCCAAACTCGAGGGAGGGGAACCCGGGGCCGGTTTCTCGTCCCCGTGTTGCAGAGAGGCTTTCTGCACCCGTCACTGCTGCGCTGTTGGTGTTGGTGCGGTTTGCTTGAGCCTGCAGGCAGTCTGAAACCGTAGCCCGGGGTGAAACGGCGCTGTCCTCCCGCTCTCCCAGCACCCAGCATAATGGGGTCCTCAAAGCACCAGGGTGGCCTCCAGCTTCAGAAGCTGGACCAAAAGAGAGGCGAAGCTGCAGGGAGCTGGGGGAAGGAGCTGTAGGCAGAAACCGATGTGTTTTCGGGGGAGCAGATGGTTGTAGGCTGGCAGTGGCTGCGCTGGAAGGCCGGGAGCTTGCACGAGCTGGTTGCAGTGGGCTTGGCAGCTGCGATGCTCACGCTGAAGGCTGCTGTCAGCGAGCGCTGGGAGGGTGCAATTTGAGCAGGACTAGAATAGGATGAATTTGCTGTACGAAGTGACAGCATGACTACCTGCAAGAAACGCATCAGCCCAAACCCGAAGAGCTCTGGCTGAGGTGTCAGAGCAGATCAGCAGCGGCTGGGGGGAAGCAGCCTGGGGAGCGCGGTTTGCAGCCGAGCTTGGCCTGCCCGGTTCGGTGGGTCAGCGCCGGCAGCGGTCTCTGTGTAAGACTGACTGCCGGAAGAAGCAAGTATTGCTATTTTGCTGACAGATGGGTGATCAGAAGTTGAGGGGCGAATGGCAATGAAATTAGAGCTACTGTTGGTGGGTAAGAACTTTAGTTGTGCTTTCGAACTGTCCGTGAATGTTTTTCTCTCCCTCCTTTAAGTGGAGAGGTGCTCGTCTTCCCCCCTGCCTTCCCAGCTCTATCCAGCACCACATAGCTGTGGCGGGGTAAGCTGCAGCACAGGCTGGCACGAAGCCTGTCGTACCGCCACTAGCCGGGAAACCTTGCCAGGTTTTCTACCTTTGGATATTATCTGTGCTCGAGCAGGCAGGAGTGGGAGGCAGTGCAGCACACTGGCCTTTTCCTGGGACCGTGTGTCCAAGCGGGGAGGGGAGAGGTACCCTCCCTCCCCTGCTCTGCCCAGGTGGGACCAGCAGGGAAACGAATGAGCAGCAGCTCTTCTTTGCCAGCATTTTTCCCCTCTGAAAGGCTCTGGGGCAGGCACTGTCTCAGTGGGGTACAGGGTGATTTGGATTAACCCCAGATGCTTGTTTAGGAATTGGCAGTTCCAGGCTTCAGGACAAGACCTAACAAGGGCCAGCAAGAACTCCTAGAATCACAGTCTTAACAGCAAGGTGTGGGCTGGAAGGGACCTGTGGACGTCACCTCCTCCAGCCCTGCTGCTGAAGCAGGGCGACCCAGAGCCGATTGCCCAGGACCACGTCCAGGCAGTTTCTGAGTATCTCCAAGGACTGAGGCTCCGCAGCCTCCCTGGGCAACCTGTGCCGCTGCTCAGGCACCCTCACCTCCTGTGTTTCAGTGCGTGTGCATGGCCTCCGGTCCTGGCACTGGGCACCACTGGAAAGAGCCAGGCTCCATCCTCTTCGTAGCCTCCATTTGGGTATCTATACACATGGGTAAGATCCGCCCCCCGAGCCTTCTCTGCTCCAGGCTAAACAGTCCCAGCTCTCTCAGCCTCTCCTTGCAGGAGAGACACTCCAGTCCCTTCACCATCTCCGTGGCCCTTTGCTGGACTCTCTCCAGTCCATGCCTCTGCTGTACTGGGGAGCCCAGAGCTGAACACGGCATTCCAGCTGTGGCCTCACCAGCACTGAACAAAGAGGATGGATCACCTCCTTCGGCCTGCTGGCGACGCGTTGTCGGATGCAGCCCAGGATACCATTCACTGCCCTTGCTGCAAGGGCCCGTTGCTGGCTCATGCTCAACCTGGTGTCCGCCAGGACCCCCAGGTCCTTTTCTGCAAAGCTGCTTTCCAGCTGGGTGGTCCCCAGCGTGTCCTGGTGCATGGGGTTGTTCCTCCCCAGGGGCAGGGCTTGGCACTTCTCTCCGTTGAACTTCATGAGGTTCCTGTCAGCCCATTTCTCCAGCCTGCTGAGGTCCCTCGGGATGGCAGCACAGCCACCTCGCGTCCCAGCCACACTCCTCCCAGTTCAACGTCATCTGCACGCTTGCTGAGGGTGCAATCTGTCCCGCCATCCAGATCATTAGTGACGATGTTGAACAGGGCCCGGTATTGACCCCTGGGGTACGCTGCTAGTTACCAGTGTCCAACTAGACTTGGTGTCACTGATCACCACCACCTAGGCCCAGATGTCACTGTCCACCTCGCTGTCTGCTCATCCAGCCCAGGAGCTTGTTGGCTCCTCTGTCACTTGGGCCAGGAAGTTGTCGTCAACGCTCGCCAGAAACCCCCTGGATTGCTTGTGCCCCACTGTGTTGTCCTTCCTGCAGCTCTTGGGGTGGTTGAAGTCCTCCATGAGGATGAGGGCCTGCAAACGTGAGGCTGCTCCTACCTGTCTGCAGAGCGCCTCATCTGCTTGTCACCCTTCCTGGTCAGGCAGCCTGTAGCAGACACCCACAACAACGTCACCCATGCCAGTCTGCTCTTTCATCCTCACCCACAAGCTCCCAGTTGCCTCCTCACCCATCCCGAGCTCCATGCCCTCCTGCTGCTCTCTCGCACCAACGGTGGCTCCCCCTCCTCATCTTCTCTTTGCCCTGACCCCTCTGTGCATACCACTGTGTAATTGTCGGGGTTCTCTTTTTATGGCGTAGGATTAGGTGGACAAATGTCCTGAATGTTTGTGAAATGAGAAGTGCTTTGTGCGGTTCGTTTCTGTGGCGGGCATGGTGGCCAAGCGCATCGGGAAGAGGATGAGAAGCAGGGAGCAGTCTGGCAGCAGAGAGCTGTGGGAGGGCTGCCTGGCGAGGTGTTACAGAGCCAGGTAAGTCACCAGGCAGGGCCTTCCCTTGCTGAAAAGTGTGCTGCCGCTTCTCTTGAATATACGGGATCAGCTGCAGCGGCTGAGGAATGGGATGCGCTGCGCAGAGCCTTGCGCTGCTGCGGCTCTTCAAAGCGAATGAAAGCGCTGACGTGCTCGCTCTTACCGGGCGAGCTGGGCTTGCTTGGCTGAATTACACACGCACGCGCGCTGGCCTGTGCCGCCTCGGCCCGGACGCTGGTGTAACTCATCCATCAGTCCTGCTTCGTCTAAGAGGAGACTGCCCCTCCCTGCAAGGCTCGCCTTGCCCGTGCCCTGCCTCGGGGCTGTGGCAGCCCTGTCGGCC